GCCGCCGCCGCCACTCCCGGCGTGCTCCGCGCCCGCAGCAATCACTGCGCGTCCACAATGCACCGCGCGCCCCGCGGCTCTCGCCGGGTCCAGGCCCCTCCCCCACGGAGCCGAGACTCGGGCCAGCTGCAGCCCTAGAGCGCGGGGCTCCAGAGTGGGGAGGGCTGCGCGATTCTACGCGTGCGCGGGACACTGCCCGCGCCACACAGCCGGTGGGGGGGAGGGTGGCTGTGCTGCGCTGCGCCCCGCTTCTGCCCACAGCCAGCGCCTCCGAGGAGCGCGCTGTTGTTTTCCAGAGCAAAAAAAAATGTTGGCAATAAATTAGGTGCCACCGCCTTAACGCCCGCAGTGGCTGGAAACAATCCTATCCTCCACCCTGCAGCCAATGGTAGTGCCCTACACCCCCCGCGGCCAATGGTAGTGCCCTCTGGTGTCGTGTCCTACCCCCCTCCCCCTAGGTAGTGGTAGCACCCGACGGCCGGGGATGCAGGGTAGGGGACTGAGAGGCTCTACTGTGCTCTTTGCCCCCCGCACGGGAGGTCCGGCCCAGCGTTGGACGCTGCCCTCTGCTCCTCAGGCGGGCTGCAACTAGCAGCCTGGAGGATGACCGAGAGATCAGGACAGCCCCAAGGGCTGGGGAGGTCGCACGAGGGCTCTCTGGTATGAGGATGGAGCCCGGCTGTTCTCAGCGGGGCTGGTGTCAGAGCAAGAAGCAATGGTCCCAAGCTGCAGCAAGGGGAGTTTGGATATTAGGGAAAATTCTCCCACTAGGAGGGTAGTAAAGCACTGGAACAGGTTCCCCAGAGAGGTGGTGGAGTCTCCATCCTTGGAGGTTTTGAAGACCCGGCAAGACAAAACCTTGGCTGGGATGATTTACTTGGGAGATGTCCAGATTTGAGCAAGGGTTGGACTTGATGGTCTCCTGCGGTCCCTTCCAGCCCTCATTTTCTATGAAAACACCTTACCTATTTTCAGTGCTGTGGTGATGCTCTTGACACAGATATCCTTATGAAGATGATCCTCTGCAGCTCCCTGCTGTGTTCGCTTGCTCCCTTCTCAAAGGGAAAGCATGCCTAACTGTACTCCAATTGTGCCCAGGACCTAATGAATGACATCCTGCCCTGCCCCCTCCCCCCAGCCTCCCCACAAAATCTTTGCTTTTTGTTATAATGGTTACTCATTCCTGTCTTGGTAGCAATACCTCTTCCAGCACAAAGCACCTTTATGCCAGTGAAACTGCTTTCATGTGGTCAGATGCACTGCCTTACAGCCCTAAGGCCTACTTTACGCTACAAGGCTTTAGTAGCATAGTGTCTATGAGTAGTTACTTACAATGAAAAAAGCAAGTCTCTAATCTGATAAAGCAATGCCAGTAAATACCTACCAGCATGTTAACAAAAAGTTTTTTCCTGCTATAGCTTGTTCCCATTAGGGAACACACTTAAGCTATCTCAGCAAAAGAACTGTTTCTCCGATATAAACTGCATCTCCACGAAAGAGCTGTCTGTACAGGGACTCCTCAGCAGCAGCAGTTCCTCAGTACCAGAATGACAGTCTTTCAGTAAACAGGGAAGTCATTATTATGACTGAGGAGATCCGTAGACAACTGGTATTATTGTACACAGAAAGCTCTTTCACTTTGGTGGAGGGAGCTTATTTCCTAAGTTGGGGGGAACAGTGATAGTCTTCTAATTCAAACCTCAGCTACAGGCTGATTGATATTACATGGTATTATTTTAAATATTTGCCTTCAGCAGTGCTGATTACTGATGGCAGCATTTTCAGACTGGTTCAGTCCTGTTAAACCCAGAGCCTCAATTCAGCAGAGGCAGCAGCAGGGCTGTTGGAATGCACAAAAGGAAACAGGGACTGCACGAAAGAGCTTGTTACAGGTTTGTGTGAGTGAGTTGTGAGACAAGTGACATTAAGCATGGTACTGAAATTAAGCATATACTGAGTCTGAACCACAAAGAATTGCGATACTGGCTTTTAAAAAAAAAATCTTTAAAAATAAATATGTAATGAAAGCATCTACATGTGCACTTTAATGTACTGTAGCCTATTCTACCGCACGTGAAAGCAGCACTTAAAAACCATGCTAATAAGTTAATGTGCAGTAAAATAGGCCAGTGGTTCCCAACCCCCGGGCCGCAGCCTGGTTCTGGGCTGCGAAGAGTTGGCTGCCAGTCTGCAGGAGGGTTGGCTGCTGCAGACCAAAAGTGACTGCGGACCTGCAAACTGCGGTCTGGCCAACTGCGGACTGGAAGTGACTAGCATACTCTGGACTGACAGCCAGTTTTTATACTAAGTATAAAAAAGGGTTGTCTTTCTGCCCACAGTATGCCAAGTCACTGCTGGTCCGCAGTTTCCCAGTTCGTGGTTTGCCAGTCCTCAGCATAAAAAGGTTGGGAACCCTTGAAATAGGTTACTGCACATTAAGCATCACCTAAAATGTGTGCGCTTGCACTACCATACATTAGCACAACCTGATGTACATTTATTTATTACCTCATATTGGAGGTACTAAATTTAATGTGCTTTAGGAAAATCACATTAATGCACATGTAGACATGCCCACTGTGTTCTTCGTACCTGCCTTCGGTGTCCAAGCCATAAAGGTGAACACAGGTTGAAGCTTTTCTCTGCAACCAAGTAGTTTAAAACCTTTTTTAAAATAACAGCTAAGATTTTCATGGAATCTCATGATTCTGAAATTTGTGGCTGTACGAAAAGCACCACATATTGGTCCACTTCCTACAAATTACAAAAATCATGCAACATTGGTCAGCACAGATTTTGTGTAGAAAAAGTAAATATTCAAGCTGAAACTAATTCATGTTATTCCTAGAGGAAAAGAAAACTGATTTTGCTAATTATACCTGTGCTGTCAAAGTGATCTCAGCAAATCTTTATACATAATCATTATTAAAAGCACAGGTTTTAACGTAAATGTTGGAAAACAGTCACTTTTGCTTCTGATTTGCTTCAGTTATATTCCTTGGCCCCCATCCTTTAAGTGGGTCTGCGCTGAAGCCCAATGATGCCAGAGGGGCTCCATGTGAACACAAGCTTTACTTAGGAAGAACTAGCTAGAAGATCAGAACACTTGTTATAAAGCAGGGGCGGCCAACCTGTGGCTTGTGTATGTGGCATACAGCAGACTAGTTTTGAGTGATGGCAAGCAAGCCATCTAGAAACCCAATAAAATTAAATGAATTAGTGGATTTTCTCCCCCAAGTTCTAGTTCTGGAACTGCCTCTATATAGGTAAACTATTGCACTTACAGGGAATTAATTGAAGAGTAAGCATTGACTTGTTAAACCCCAATTAATATAAATGTTTTCAAATTAAAATATTATGGAAAAAATATATGTTCCTATATGGAGGCTATGAAAATGTATTTTTAAAGATGCGCTGTACATAGCTCTAAGCTTCAAAAAAAAATTATTTGATTAGACTGGAATTATTTGGGCTTGTATATTTTCCCTCCTGCAGGTTTTACCAGGAAGAGAACAAAAAATAATACAAAATCATCCCAGCTTAAAAAACTAGGAAAAAACCCAACAATTTTTTCTTCTACTTGGTTTTGCCCATGATGGAAATGTTATGATAATTATCCACTTGGATAATGAAAAGCTTTCACAAGTCCCTTTTTTGCCTGGACAAGGTTAAAAGCCAGAAGGATAAGAATACTCAAGCTGATTCCTGTCTATGGCTTACACCAGTGGGTGTGGCACCAGTGGTGAATTATTGATCTATAGGCAGCCATTAAGCAGCATGTGACATTGTTTTCTGTGCACTGCACCTGTACGTTTTAAGAATTCTGCCTATTCACAGAGGAAGGAAACATCCTATTCTGAACTGATGCAACATTACAAGGAAGACCAAGACGTTGTGTTATCTTCTTTGGACTTTTATTTTGTCCTTTCTTGTTTTGTTGTTTCCCCTAATGTAAACTGAACTTGTTAGACTGAAAGTTGTCCAGTTTTCTGTATGCAGGAAACACTGCAATACCCCCAGATTGGCAAAAGTTCCCAGGCACCCCAAGAACCCACAAGGAGTATTGCAACTGCTTTTCCCTTCTCCATTTTAAACTGTGAAGCAGCTGGCTTCACCCACATGGCTGCATACTGAACCTCCCCCCTATGAAGGGGAAGCTTCAACATACAATTTAATGTGTTCTGCTTCTAGAAGTAGTAATTTCCACATAGGAAGCCACATACGTTGAAAGCAGAACATATTGACCATATCAGTTGCCTCTCAATCCCAGCCTACACCAACATACCATTATTCTTGTCCCACAGATAAGTTACCAGGGGCTCAGATCTTAGATGCTTCTCTCTGTCTCTCTCTCTCTCTTTGGATATGTTAGGGTTGTAGCTGCACTTTTGTACTACATTTGTCTTTCCTTCATGTACTGACTAAAAAAAGAAAGAGCATATGACATCCTAAGTACTCCAGCAGTGGCACCTTGATACTACAGAGATAGTTACCAGGAAAACATTTAAGAGCCTGACAGAGTCATAGCTGGGCAGCTCCACGCCACTGGGCCACTGTGCAATGCCTGGGGCAGTGCTGACTATCACTGTGCCGGTCTTGGTGGCATGGGGTTATTTTTGCACCAACCCACAAGGGCAGCAGCCAGGGTCTTGTTCCACCAGTCTGAGCCGTGCAGTTGGGGCCATTCCTCCAGGCTGAGCCTGATTCAACTCCATATGGAAATAAATGTCTGCCCATTGCAGTAGATTTCACAATCAAGACTTAAGTTAGCAGATTTTTCATCATGCACATAATATCCTACGTACAACACCTATGAAACCCATGGGATAAAAAACCATGCAAGTCCTAGTTACATGTCATAAACTACATGAAGTTTCAT